TAATGCGATTCCACTCGAACGTTTTAAGTGTACTGTCGCTTGGCGCGGGGTTATGCAGTGTTTACAGTTCACGTTCGGCATCACATGTTCAATTGATTCATGTGTTTTGTTTGTGAAGTGTTATTTGATAGGGACTCTATAAATTTCATCCTTTTTTTGCAAATTTAGCTGTTCCCATAAACAGTGTATGAAAAAAATAAATAAAAACAGTGTTTCGCAGTGCGGACTAATAGCGTTTTACACCCGCGCTCTCTGTTTCCATCACACAATCAGTTGAAACACGTGGGTTGTTTTGAAGCTTCCTCAGCGATTTTTGCTTACAATTTCCCCAATTTTGTGGTATTAACTGTTAATACGGAAAAGAAGAATATCCCCAAGAAGCGTTCTGGTGATCGCATTCCCGGTGGTGATCTAAAAAGAAAGGCTATAACACTTGAAGAGAAGCTTGATGTTATCAAGCGTTTTGAATGTAAGGAAAGAACATGTGATATTGTGTGTGCAACGGGAATAAAGAAGCAGGATTGCAGTTCGCGGTGTTAAATCTTTTTGGGCACCTGATGAACAGCTTCTTTGTAAAAGAAGAAAGGCGGCAAAGCAGCAAACATTAGACGTCTTTTATAAGTCAACCCCCAAGAAGCAGTCTGATGACACTGAACCACAGCCATCCACTTCTGGAATTAGACTTTTTTTTCGTCCCAACCATGCAACAAAAATTGCACCTGATGATGACAACTCTCAACTCCTGTCTGCATGACTACTCAACCTCAACATCACCCTTCTCCCCTATCAAGTTATATTCATATTTTTTCAAGATAAAGTGTAACATTTACTGAATGATTTCATAATTATATATGAATGTAACATTTATTGAGACTGTGCTATCGTTTGTGTTAGGCTAACTACTAAAATTTTTTCGATTTCGAGTAATCTGCACCTAAACCTATTTTCTCCATTCAGCCCTGTTATTTCTATTGTGTGAATTTCTACAACGCGAGGTTTTACAAGAACACAATTATCGCGTTGTAGCAGAACTGACTGTACGTATATTCAAAAGATTCCCTGAAAATTTCTTGATTTTATACCATATTACTCATTGATGAGTCATCTATCATGAAACAAGTTGACTATACACCTATGTGTAGTGATCTCTTGGTGGGGGGGTGCAGTCGGCATCTCCTACCATATGGACAGGACTGATTCCCGTCAGCTTACAGTTACCATTTAGGGATTTTTCCAAAGCAATTATCCAATAGTATTTGGGATGAAATGAGCAGGTATTAGAGCTTATTGTATTGATCTTGTGTACACTCGCAACAAAAAGTATCAGTGCATACTGTAGTGTGAACAATTTGAGACCAGTGACGATAAGTATTGGGAAAGGTGAGTTGTTCCAGCCGTATGTTGGCAGCCCTGTAATCCTGCTGAGCTGCTACTATGGCCTGGTCAAGTGAAACAAACCATTATAAATAAGGTCGGGTGGTGATAAATGGACAGTATGGAATATGAGGAGCTCCCTGTTAACAAAATTATTTGTGATACTTGCGAATATTGCCACATTAATTTATGCTACCAAATAAACCACTCAAACTGGTCGTCCTGAGGGGTGGTGCAGCGCAGACGGCCGCTCCGAGACCTGTCGTCTGTAGCACCAGTTTCGAGGTATCGCCGAATCCATCGTGCAAGGGTGTTCCTGTGGACACCAACCCGCTGGCTAATATCTGTGAAGCCGAACCCTTTGTTACGAAGGACAATAATAGCTCCTCGTGTTCCCTCTGAGGTTTCCATTTCGTCTGGCATGTGTAGATCTCTACTGCTTCATATTGCCTCTTTTTTCTACCCATGTTCACCGAGACCAAACCCTCGCTCATCATTCAGTCGACACAAAGCAACAATCCGAAAAGAGGAAACAAACACACTGATTGTCAGCAATATGGCAACACCTAGTGGTGGTGGTGGGGGGGGTTATGAGGATACACTTACCAACTCTCCCGACATATCACATTGTATACTTATCGTTTCGGAAGTCGTCAATCTCACCCTGCACCGATACTTTTTGGTGCGAGTGTACATTAAAGCCTTGACTAATAATGGTTGTAGATGTACAGTAGTAAAATTAATGTAAAAAATACTGTATGTATCTTTTAATTAATGTTATGTAATGTACGTACAATAGAAGTGATCAATGAATTGGTAGAGAAAAAAAGTGAGACTGAGCGGGAGGCAACATATGTACTCATGGAAACAGTGTCATTTATCTTATGTACACACACACACACACACTCCACACTGACACACACACACACGGTGAATTAGCCGTTTGGGGGGAGGGTGTTGCGGTCACTTTTACCCCCAACAGACCCTTTTCCTCAGGCTGGGAGGAGGGGTGGGGGAGAGATTAACGCATACAGTACTTAAGGATAAAGGCAGAAGGTTTTATTGTTTTGCTTACAAAATGTAACTGATTTGACTTAGGAGAATATAACTTGCATTGCTGAAATTCTTGTAAGATTGCAATTAATTTGAGTATAAATATCCCTTATTTTGCACTATACATAATAATTTTAGTAATTAACTTAGAACATTTAAGTACAGGTTGTGATAATTAAAGTGGTTGCAGTTTCAAAGCTTTGTGACATCACTAGTGTATAATGAGTCTCCATATGCCCTGGTTTATTCATTATCCAGTTGTCTAAGTGCAAAAGTAGCCCTGTCGAGCCATCATGTATCAATTACTGTAATTTTAAAATATAAATTATAATGTAAAATGTTATAAGACAATGGTTTAGTAGTGCTGTTAATGTGTGTGTTGTGTAAGTGTCTTGGCATGTCACCTCACCACCTGACTCCTGAACAAACTCTTCATCAACTTCTTCAAATCTACAATGTGCTTGGCAAGCTCAAAACACACACACACACGGGAATTAAGACAACAAGCCTCCAGTGAGGGTCTTGTTGTGTGACTGCATGGAGGCAAATTAAAAGATCAGCTGTTAAGGAGCTTATCTCTTGGCAAAACTGGTGCATGTTACCACTCCTTTCCACTCCATCTCTCTAATCACCCACACCTTTCTCACTCCATATTCTAAAATGTTATGTAATGTAATGTTGAAGGGATACAACTTTACTCATTTATACTTATAATTCTCACAATCTCCCTAAAAATACTTAAGGTTTCGTGTTTAGTCAAGACATTTTCAGAAAATGCTCTCGATTTTCAACCTTGGAAAATTTGCTCCCCCAAAGTCAGATTTTTTTTTAAATTTCGGCTTTGGGAATGATTTTTCGAGCAAATTTTAATTCCGGTTATCGGAGAGTTCCGGATTTGAGGGATTCCAGCTAACGTAGATATTACTGTACAGTAATGTTGCTCAAATTTATGGCTTTTTCAAATTCAATTTACATTTAATATTTGTTTAATTTAAGTTTCTACCAGTCCATGGTGCTTTAGAGACACAGGAGGTGTATAATTAGTGGGTCAGAGGTGTATTGTTGATTTATTATTACCTGACCTCGGTTGATCCGGCAAAACGGATAATCCGGCATGGCTTTGGATCCAAGGGTGCCAGAAAATCGGTGGTGAACCCATAATAACAAACCCCTAATATCCACTATCTACACTGTTTGGTTTATGCATTTTTTATTTACATAACCATTGTCAGGAATACAGTGGTCCCTCGGTTAACGAACGCCTCGGTTAACGAAATTTCGGTTAACGAACTGCCTCCCATAAGATTCTTAAATTCGGTTAACGAAAAAAAATTCGGTTAACGAATTTCTTACGAACTGACCTCAACATGTTTTTGCTTGCACTGGCCGGTCAACCAGCTTTAGTATTAGTCCGCCAATACATTAATCGGTTCTAGGGCTTAAATTCCTTACTATTTTAGTAAATATCAAGAAGTTTATACTATTCAATAATTTTAAAAGTTTAATATTAAATTTTTTAGTCATTTAAACAATTATTGAACATAATTGAAGGTAAAGTGACTAGTTTAATGCGCGGCATCCGGCCTCTTAACACAGCAAACAGGTGTTAGTCTCTTTCTGTTTTCACTGGAGGTAACATCTTGCTTGAGACTCTCTTCAACTAAACGCTTTTTTTCTGTGTTCCAAGCAAATTATTGGTCATTATGAAATATATTTTACATATTGACAATATATAATGCAGTGCAGTGTTGATTTAAAGAAAATAATCTTGAAATACACCAAGAGAACTAAAATTTTATGGGGGAAATGGTGGCATAGGGTGACTTCTCTTCCACCCCAATGCCTTCTCTTCTTCCTTCTCCTCCACCCCCATTCTAATTCCCATCATCATCATCCAGGAGCCTTCTACATACACACCTCAAAGTAAGTGAACTTTTCTACCATTTTTGTTGAATTTAGGCAATTTTCGGTGAGCTGGAACCAATTACCTAAAAACCCATTGAAACAATGGTTTCGGTTAACGAACAACCTGCTGGAACGGATTGTGTTCGTTAACCGAGGGACCACTGTATAATTATTGTGCTCTTAATTTTGTTATAGTTTTATATTATATTTTCTTTTATATCTAAATCACATTAGAGTGTTGAAATAATATGTCCACAACTTTTATAGTTCCATTACATGTAACAATGGCAACATACCATCTCACAGGTCACCTCATACCCAGTTTTTCCCCTTTCCAGTGAGTCAAACTATCGCTAAACTGTATTTTGGCCTAACACTAAGTGAGAAAGGGGTGTAAAAATTTTTTTGAGCTAAACTGAATTAACATTAAGTGAATTAATGCTAAGTGAGGGATAACTGTATGTGCAGTCGAGACATATGAGTTGCAAGATGTGAGAAGAGAAGTCAAATATTCAGACAAGAAAAACAAACTCACTAAATTAAAAAAAAAAATTTTAAATTTGATGAGCAGTTATGGAAATACTGTACAGTACTGTTCTGTAATCAAATCATGTATACACTGGATATAGTAATACTGTACTAGCATTATAATACTTTACTGTACTCACATTCCTTTTTGCATAGTGTTTCTGCTTCTGATAAACATTTCTATCAATACCAAACTGGCACTCCAATAGTTTGCTGCCGAGGAGAATGTACGGGATGCCATCATACATGGGAGTGTAATTTTCAGTTTTAATCTTTTGCTCATCTTGATGCCACAGAATTTTATGATTTTCTGCAGTCCAATCTGAAGAATAAAATCAATATTAATTTAATAAACCAATTACTGTACAGTTCAGGTACAGTATTACACATGGGAACAGAATACCTTCTTGTATTCAGTTACTGTACATAAAAAAAGGGGGTCTTTGATGGTGTAGGGCATTAATCAGTAGTAAGAAGAGAGTGAGTGAAACTATGTTAAATCATATGATGTAACAGTACTGTCTCTTGCAAGTCATTCCTCTCCTCTAATGTAGGAATTTGCACCAAAATTTGTATTCAGTTGAAAGTTGGCCACACTTCTGGAATACAGCTAGACCCCGACTTACGACCACATGGACTTACTTTCCATTGGTACTTACGACCTGCTTTGACCGTACGTCCGTCGGGACACGACCGCGGCAGTCGTGACCAAAAATATTTTCAAATGATGCGCGCATTTTCGATACCGAAACGTTTCCGTCTGGGGCGAGTGGGTGGCGCGTCTCAGGTCGCCTCATGGGTACACTCACTCAGTGGGGCGCTTTGTTTGTGTTTGGCTATCGTATCCTATACTGATCGCGCTGTGAACTTTCGTTATTATCATATTTAATTGACTTTATAATGACTGGAAAGCGTAAAAGTGAGAGTGCTGGTGGTGTTCCAAAGAAAAGGAGACAGGCAATTACTTTTGAGATGAAAATTAAGATAATAACACAGCATGAGAATGGAAAAACAGTAGCAACAATCTCACGCGACCTAGGTTTCTCACACTCGACTATACCCACTATTCTGAAGGACAAGGAACGTATTCGTGAAGTAGTGAAAGGAACAACACCTATAAAGGGAACTATAATATCAAAGAGAAGATAAGGTCCTATTCACGACATGGAAAAATTATTGGTGATATGGATAGAAGACCAGATACAGAAGCGTGTACCCTTAAGCCTTCTAACCATACAGGCTAAAGCAAGAAGCCTGTTCCAAAGCCTGAAGGAGCAGGCAGGAGATGAATGTGATCAAACATTTACAGGAAGTCAAGGGTGGTTTGATAGATTTAAAAAACGCTACAGTCTACACAATGTTAAGGTGAGTGGAGAGGCAGCTAGTGCCGATGTTGATGCTGCCGAAGCTTTTAAGGAGGAGTTAGATGAAGTGATTGTGGAAGGGAATTATTTGCCTGAGCAAATATTCAATGTGGATGAGACTGGATTATTGTGGAAGCGCATGCCTGAGCGGACATACATCCACAAAGAGGCAAAAACAATGCCCGGATTCAAGGCATTCAAGGACAGAATTACACTTCTGTTGGGGGGAATGTTGCTGGTTTCAAGCTAAAGCCCTTCATGATCTATCATTCAGAGAACCCCAGGGCTTTTAAACATGTCAGCAAGCACACACTGCCAGTGTTTTATCTCAGTAATAAGAAAGCCTGGATGACCCTAGTACTGTTTGAGGATTGGTTCATGACTTGTTTCATTCCACGAGCCAAGGAGTATTGTCTGCAACAACGGATTCCATTCAAGATTTTACTGATTTTGGATAATGCTCCGGGACACCCACTACACATGGACGACATGCACCCTGATGTTAAGGTACATTCCACCTAACACTACCTCTATCATCCAACCCATGGATCAAGGTGCTATTGCGGCCTTTAAAGCATATTATTTACGCACGACCTTCGCTCAGGCTGTTGCTGCTACTGAAGGTGAGAAAACGCTCAGAGAGTTTTGAAAGGAGTACAACATTTTGTCATGTATAAAAAACATTAGTGCAGCATGGGATCAGGTTACAAAACATTGCATGAATGGAATATGGAAGAAAATCCTGAAAAGATATGTGCACAGTTTCAAAGGATTTAATGAAAATGAAGTTATTTCGGATATTAGTAACACGATAGTGGAGTTAGGTAAACAGCTGGAGTTAGAAATTGATACTGAAGATGTTGGACAGTTGGTTGAAAGTGTAGCAGAAGAGCTCAGTAACGAGGATCTTATTGAACTAGATGCACAGAAAATTGCAGAGGAAGAAGAGACAAAATGTAGCAGAAGAGCCTGCACCCCCCAAAAAGTTTTCAGTGAAACAAATGGCAGAGGCATTTGCTACAATTAATAAAGGAATGCAAATGTTTGATGGCATGGATAAAAATTATGAGCGTTATGCCAAAGTTGACAGAACGATCCAAGATGCACTTGCTCGCTACAGAGAAATTTATAATGAAAAGAAAAGCAAACTGTGCAGTCTAAATTGGACATCTATTTCAAGAATTCCCCCAGTGCTGTCTCCTCAAGCCCCACCAGTGCTGCCTCTTCACTCCCTCAAGATGATCCAATACCTTCAACCAGCAAGTTTTCACAGCACATAAACCTGTCTGAAGAAAGCGACATTGATGACCCACCCAACCCTGTCTCCTCTTCTGCTTCTTCCAATTAATATAGTCTCCATGTATCCTGTAAATATAAAATTAAGGGAGCCCTGTGTGCATTCAGCTGACTACATTTAAGGTAAGTGCTCAGTCACACTGTATCCATTCCTCATTATTTATTACTTTTACTGTACTGTATCCATTCCTCATTATTTATTACGTTTAGTGTACTGTATTTCATTGTAGATTTTTAAATTTAAAAAAAAAAAATTGATTTATTTTTTATTTTTTATCTATGTCGGACTTACGACCTGGATTTGGGTCCCTAACCCCGTCGTAAGTCAGGGTCTAGCTGTAATGTGTTCTGGCCATTCTATCAATCTGTTTCAACCATTTGACAATGTATCTTACACGAAGAGTGTTCAAGATTTCTTATTCGGGTAAAGATTTTTTTTATGCAATAACGGTAAATTTTTACTAAAATAGTTTTTTCTTATGTATTTTTTCTTTTAGAAACATGAGTCATGCAAAGGAATCTGATGATAGGCAGACTTCAAATCAATGGTTGTAAAGAACCGGTACTGTGCTACCTTATTGACTAAGTCATCGATACGAGGCAGTGGGTATGCATCAAATTGAGTAAAACAGTTCACAATCTGAGAATAGTCTATGACCATCCTTCTCTTATGTCGTTCATTAGTAGTAACAAGAGCCTGTGGCCGCTAAGAAGATGAGCTAGGTTCAATAATGCCTTCTAAAAGTTGTCGACTGACTTCAGACTCAATGAGTTTCTGATCGGCGGTGCTGTATCGTCTAGACTTGGTAGCAATGGGCTTACAATCAGGCATTACATTAGAGAAAAGAGGTGGAGGAGGAATTGATAAAGTGATCAACCCATTTACTGTTAAAGGAGTTTCGTCCCTCCAAATTTCACACTTACATAATCATGTTGTTGCATAAAATCCTGATCTAATATAACATCACTACACAAATCTAAGTTTACAATACAATATCCTGCCACCTTAGTCGAGAAAGACGAGGTGGCCATAGACACTAGGCTATTTCTAGGATACAGTGATATATCATAATGCTTCGCCAGCTTTTCACATACAGTATAGTTTTTTTTAAGCGTAATGTTAATGGTAGGAATTAATGTTGAAAAGATGATTAATGTCTATCTATCAAAAAAATAAACGAAAATTGGTCTCATGTTGAGGTTGCAAATCACCTCAATACTAATTACAATAAGGGAACTGTTCTTAGAAATAACCTTTATCATCTTATGAAAGCAGTACTACGTCAGACGGTAATAGTTCTTCTCCTCCTTGGCGTACCGGTACACCTCTAAAGTATCGTCCAATAGATTGTCGCAACTTGTCAGCAAAAGTTGTGTGAACACGTGAGTTTTGTGGAAGGTGACTACACTTTCCTCACCAAACTATGTGGCCTGTCAGTTTTAAACGAGAGCTACCAATACGAGTGATTGATTTCTTTTATGGATAACTGCCACAACTAGAGACATACAGTATACAACACATAAAATGTTCGCTCAACTCCAACTAAAAGTGATAAGTGGGACACACGTTTCATCACCGAAGTCGCCGTAGATTTAATATTTTACACCTGAATCAACGCTTAAAAAAGAATAATTGCCTTAAAGTTCTTCTTTTTTTTAAGGAATCTGTTTCGCTTTTCTGTGTAAGAATGAGGTTAGAAGATACTTAATTCTTTAAAGGGAAATATGCACTGTGATGAACCTTCTCCTTATTCCTCGATATGTTAAATTATTGTTGGGACTTAATGGTCAGGGAAGGTTCAAGACTGGCAAGCGTAAAAGTGAGAGTTCTCGTGATGCTGAGAAGAAAAAGAGACACCCATTTTAGAATGTCTATGTATTATTTTCGCCTTTTCGATTTACGACTAATTCGACTTACGACCTGGTCGTCGGTACGAACCCCGTCGTAAGTCGAGGAGAGACTGTACTAGTTGACAAGGGTTTGGTAGCATGGATCAAATATGCTGAACTTTATTAATTTTGGGTTGCTGGTTTCAAGTATGGCAATAAAAAATATCAGTTACAAAACATTTTTATGATACAGTATGTGTGTATATGTACTGTAGGAATATAAGAGACGTATTTGTGTTGATAGGGATATATTAAATGCAAGGTTCACAATACTGAACAGGAGAATGGAGAGAATACTCGTACAATGCTGAGGCTGTGTTAATTCACCAAATTGCGTATCAAAATGTACCTTCAGCAATAAGGCCCGTTCCTCACGGAGAAGGCCTCTCTATACCCACACCACCGGCTAATTTGGAAGAGCTCTCAACTTCAGATGAGGAAATTGAGGAAGAAATTCCAGAATCATCCCATGATTCTCATTTCATTGACCAGACTTCCAATGAACCACATCTTATAGAATAAAGTAAACTTAATGATCTTGTACATGATCTTCCTCTGTCAAAACAGCAGGCGGAATTTTTAGCATCAAGACTGCAGGAATGGAACTTGCTAGGGAAACAAATAAGAATGTCTGTTTTTAGGAAAAGAAATATTACATTACTTTCATTCTACAGTATGCAGGATTCTCTCTGTGTGTGTACTAATGTAGATGGACTGATGTCAGAGTTGGGAGAGAAACATGACCCAAAGGAATGGTGGTTTTTCATAGATTACCCCAAGTTTAGTTTGAAAGCAGTGTTGTTGCATAATGGGAACCAGAAGCCCTCAGTTCCAGTGAAGCATTCTGTAGGTTTGAAGGAAACCTATTATAGTATGGAGGAAATACTGACTGCTATTAAATACAAGTAGTATAGATGGCAGATCTGCGGCGATTTGAAGGTTATAGCCCGTCTATTCGACCTTCAATGAGGGTTCACGAAATAGTGCTGTTTTCTGTGTTTATGGGACAACAGAGCAACAGAAAAACACTACAACACAAAGGACTGGCCAAAGAGAGAAGAGATTGTTCCAGGAAAAAGCAACGTTAAATATACTCCCTTGGTAGACCCAAACGATGTACTTCTACCCCCTTACATATCAAGCTGGGACGAATGAAGAATTTTGTGAAGACTATGGACAAACAAGGTGATGGGTGCATGTTCTTGAAGGGAAAATTCCCACAGCTCAGTGATATCTAAAGTCAAAAAGGATGTCTTTGTTGGCCCACAGATAAGAAAGTTACTTCGTGATGACGACTTTGAAAACAAACTGAATGAAAATTAGCTAGCTGCATGGAAATCCTTCACATCTGTATTCATGGTTTCTTGGAAACAAGAAGGAAGAAAATTATTGCCAACTTGTAAAGGAACTCTTAAAAAACTACAAAACTTAGGAGACAGGATGTCCCTAAAGGTCCACCTCTTAAACTCACACTTGGACTTTTTTCCTGAGAATCTGGGGCCGGTTAGTGATAAACAGGGAGAGCGATTTCATGAGGACATTAGACGTCTGGAGTAAAGGTAACGGGGTAGATGGGATCCTGCCATGATGGGGGACTATTGATGGTTTATACAATCGGAGGACAAAACAACACATAAAAGGATGAAATAAAATAACAAATGCCCAAACTGGCTAATTTAATACTTTTGTGTCTTCTTAGGATTGTTTTCATTCTTTATTGAATTTTAGTGTGATGACGTGGAAAAAAATAACAGGAATAACAGGAAAAATATTAGTTTTCACTTTTTATATTTGTAATATTTTTTTTTATAAAAAATAAACTGTACGTGCCAGAGAATTTTCATTGCCAGATTTGAAATCAGCACCTCAAAATTACCAAAAGGAAGCTGCTCTGAACCATGTTCCGGATTATTTTAAAACATTTGTTGCCTAGTGTTATTATATCACAACTCAGTGATGAAAATATATGGCATTAAGAATATAAATATCAAAACAAATAACTCGTCAGCTGTGAAGTCCTCCATATTAGCCATATCTCCTAATTTACAACAACTTTTCCGAGAAACACTTCCATCGGAAATGAATATTAACGAAAATAAATATCTGGGGGTAAGAAATTAAGTGAGCATATTCGGAGAGTTCTTTAGTCTACGCTGCCTATGAAATAATGACAAGTAGAGACCTCTAGTGGTTTCCCAGAGAGTTACCCCATGCTTATCTGCACTTCATCCTTGACCACCGAAGGGTCAAGGCCTATTCAGGCGCTGCTTCTGCTGAGCAGCGGCACCCCTTGGCCATGTCGGCCTATCCCTTAATTCCCTCTTCCCCGACTCATCCTCACCACAGGAATACACATGAATCAGGTTGTTGCTCTCACGTCCACCAAAAATGTCAAATTACACCATATAATAGTAAGTTCTTTCTGTTTAATATGCCGGAGGGTTGAGCCTCACAGCTAGGAAGTTAGACAAGGTTAGGTGGGTTTCTTTGATTAGGTGTTCTAACAACAGTTTTGCTGTTTGTTTTTCTTATCAACTAAGGTTAGGTTAGGTTTCATTTAGAAATAGCTGTAACTAATTTTTAACACATTTGCCAGTGAATATTTAGAAAATGACACCAGCAACTGAATATTGAGGGAGATACATTGGGAGAGAGAAAATAAAATAAAATTATTTTATTCTATAACGTTTCCGCCAAAAATTTATAGTTTTTGAGTAAATGTAAAAAAAAAAAAGAAGAAAACAAAAGAAAAGTAAAATAAAATATTTGGCCAATCAGCGTGTGTTGATGTAACGTCATAGTCATGCTCGCCAATCAGCGTGTGTTGAAGCGACGTAATACACGTGCGCTAATCAGCATTCGTGGTCACTTGGAAGCGGGCGTTTGCGTAAAATGGATGTACATGGGCTGGCTGTCGTATTATTCAGAGCATTTTGGACAATGAATCAGCAACCGTTGTCATTTTTAGGGCTCACGGTGTTTTTGTTTCGTCAGTACAGTAAAGTGTCCGAGAAGTAATTCAGAGTGTCAGTACCATGTATGGTGGCCAAACGTCCGGCTTTTGAGCACTCTGTCCTTCGTCCGGCGCTACCTCGTGCCAGACATTAATTTGTCCTCCTTTTTGTTGTCGGAATAAAAAGAATTATGTAAATTACCTTAGGTATACTTTTAAAACAGCGGGAACTGAAGGCCATAATAACCGTTAATGTATTTTTATTAAATGTAGTTGCATTGTGAACACTGCTGATGAGCCGCATTGTATGATAGTACGAGTCAAGTGGTCAACACTGTCAACACGTCCGAGATGGTCAGTCTGCCCAAGGCCGCAGTGTATAGTGGTTGACTTTTTTGTTCTTGCTTCAATTTGGTTAGCATATGTTGTTTCAGCAGGAGTAAAAATGAATATTCATTTCTTTCAGTTCTTTATTTATACTGTATGAATGTATGTATGTAATATATACAGTGCATTTCCAAAAATTTTAAATTTTATAAAAATGACCACAATAGCATTCATCACATTATAGTGATATTTGACAAATCAACAATTTTTATAAGTATGTTTTGTGTATTTTATACCTGTACAATGTTTTATATATTTTCAACTCATCATTAAACATGCTTATTTAGGTTAAAAAAATGGGTCCGCCTAATTACCCAAATGTAGCCGCAATGAAGTCAAATAATGGTCCTACATGAATAAATCGGACTGCCAATCACTTCTCGACTAGTATTTGGTGTCACAAAGTAAAAAAAAGGAACACTTAATTTAATCTGAGTTAATAGATTGCGTGCATGTACCGAAGGAGCGATTAATTACCCAAATGTACCCAAATGTAGCCGCAATGAAGTCAAATGATGGTCCTACGTGAATAAATCGGACTGCCAATCACTTCTTGACTAGTATTTGGTGTCATGAAGTCACAAAAAATTGGTAAACTTAATTTAATCTGAGTTAATAGATCGAGTGCATGTACCTAACCTAACCTAACCTAATACAACTCAGATTAAATTAAGTTTACCAATTTTTTGTGACTTTATGACACCAAATAATAATCGAGAAGTGATTCACAGCCCGATTTACGCTTGTAGGACCATCATTTGACTTCATTGCAACTACATTTGGGTACATTTGGGTAATTACTCGCTCCCTCAGTACAAGCACGCGATCTATTAACTCAGTTTAAATTAAGTTTTCCAATTTTTTGTGACTTTGTAACACCAAATACTAGTCGAGAAGTGGTTGGCAGTCCGATTTATTCATGTAGGACCATCATTTGACTTCATTGCGGCTACATTTGGGTAATTAGTCGGACCGTAAAAAAATAGGTGTCACACAAATAAATTAAATAAATGTCCTCCCTCTTGGAAATGGTAGATGGCCCTGCATGGTACTGTGGTAAGAGACGGACACTGACAAAGATACCACTACCTCATTCAAGTCACATCACTATATCCTCCTGTATCTCTTACTTAAGGTAACTTTCTTATGCACTAGGGGTTAGGTCTGGTTTGGTTTGGATATATATATATTTTATTTTTTAGGTTTTTACATTGTTTGACCTTCCACTTTTTTTTTCAAATATCTCAACTACTAGTCATTTGCGATGACAATTAAGGTCATCCTTGTATTTAACACGATGACTTACACTAGAAAAACCTATTTTCAATATTCAGTTGCCTGGTGTCATTTGCCATAACTACGGAGGTGTTCACCATATAACAGTGAAGTTGCAGCTATTTAAGAATTCTTTTTCTGTGAAAAATAAGCGGCTGTGAAGCCGTAAATTTTTACCGGAGATATAGCAAGAACATCGGTCAAAATTCCCGAGAACCAATTATGGCTGAAACTGTGCTAATACCAAAACATTTACCCTATCTGTAGTCAAAAGTACTTACCATCTCTTCCAAAACTTCTCTGAACCTTGTAACAAACAAACCGATTCAAAGTTCTCTCTTGAAATAAACTTAAAGTCTCGTTTGCCTTCTCCACAGTATAGACATAACCAAAGGTGTGTTTCAGCATAACATCAAAATAATCATGGTGTGAGGGTGTTGATGGACTACAAGGCAACTCTATCGTCTTCTCGGCTCTCGCACTATTGCTATCTGGATCTGTGACAATTTCTGCATTTATAACAGCTTCCTCAACCGTTTGGGGATCTTCTACCTTAATAGTAATTGACTCTTCCATATTTAAACTGTGGCGTATATGAAGAAGCGTCCATTTACAATGTTTACATCGCCTTTGCTATTATTACCGTCTTCTTCCCGCTTGGAAATTATTGAAACTCTATTTATAATAAACACAAAAAAGTCTTCAATAAAATGTAATATAATTAATACTTAAAAAAATAAATGAAATATAATTAATAAAAATAAAAACAAAAGGAAAAAACAAACTATATTTATTTAAAATGAAATCGGCCATTAGGATACAAGGTGTTTGAAAACTTGTGTTTTATTTCTCATAGAGGAAACGTTATCACTTTTTTATTACGCTAATTAAATATCTCGTTTTACATTACATAGTACAGCATAGCATATTATACTCTTTTTTACTATGCAAAGTATATAACAACTTCTAACTGTATAATCATTACCGCAGTGGCATATCACAGGTAATAATAATAATAATAATAATAATAATAATAATAATTGTAGGGTTGGTGGCAGGTTATTCTACGAGCTTGTGGGGTTCAAGATGTTTGGTTCACACTCAGAATGGGATGGAGAAAGGAAACTCACAATGTGCTCTCTATATACATGTTGTATTGGATGTACTGTAGTGGATTTCTCCCCTACAAACGCTGTTTGTCGCTGAGTAGCTGACCCCACCAATTCCCCAGTGTATGCCTCGTGGTCTGGGTCAACCAGCGCCGCCATACATCACGGAACGGGGATCAACTACTAAGCCACGCCTATCCCCGCTATTTAAGACCTGACCTCGTGGTGACCTGCCTCTTTCTACCTACACCAACCAGCCAGCAACACCTCCTCCGCCGCTGCCTGGCGGCCCTCGCTCCTCCTCCGCCTGCCTGGCGGTCCTCTCTCCCGCCGGCAGCATGGCGACCCACAGGCTGGTCCTTCTCTGAGCGTCCTCACCATCCAGCTTTCTCTACATCACGCTTGTAACAATGCTGCCTTCCCAGCACCAAGCTGCATTGTACATCCAATACAAAATGTATATAGAGAGCACATTGTGAGTTTCCTTTCTCCATCCCATCCTGAGTGAACACAAAACACCTTGAACCCCACAAATGGTGACCCCGGAGTTTCGCACTCACACAGGATGGAGGAGAAACCGATCACTCTCCCAGTCTTCAAGCAACATGGAAGACTGGCTTATCCACACAGAAGCAGCTCTCATCGGCTCTACAACTACTGTCTCTACACCGCAGGTTAGACACCCTAGAGCAGCACTGCTTCTCTAAGCAGACACCAGCTCCTCTTCCTGCCCCAAGCACCACGTCTTACCGACCCCAGCACACCCGTCCTGCCTCAGACGCCGCCCCCGGCCCAACAGTAACCCCTGCCGCCCCTGATGCAGCCTCTGTTCCTGAGTGCGGACCCACACACCCCTCTTTTCTCCCTCAGGTACTCCCTGCTACTGTCCTGCACCCTGCTGCTGTCACGAGCCCTCATCCGCTTCTGCTGATGCAGCCCCTGCTCCTGACCCAGGCCCACACACACCACAGCAGGCGCATCTGACGACTCTGTACCTGCCGTGAGGGAAGCACAACATTCATCGCCTCCACACACCCTTTTTCTCCCTCTCTTCTCCCACAGATAGTGTGTATATAGACAGTTGTATCCAGCGACCTGCTCATCCACGCCATCGCCGTTGTCTCACATGAGGCATGCACCGCCCATTCTGCCTCACATGTGCTAAGCATCCCTGCAGACAACAAGTCCCCTGCACCGCCTGGAGGGAAGGGGGAGTATTGTAGTGGATTTCTCCCCTACAAACGCTGTTTGTCGCTGAGTAGCCGACCCCACCAATTCCCCAATGTATGCCTCGTGGTCTTGGTCAACCAGCGCCGCCATACATCACGGAGCGGGGGTCAACTACTAAGCCACGCCTACCCCCGCTATTTAAGACCTGACCTCGTGGTGATCTCCCTCTTTCTACCTACACCAACCAGCCAGCAACACCTCCTCCTCCGCCGCTGCCTGATGGCCCTCGCTCCTCCTTCGCCTGCCTGGCGGTCCTCTCTCCCGCCAGCGAGCATGGCGACCCACAGGCTGGTCCTCCTCTGAGCGTCCTCACCAACCAGCTCTCTCTACATCACGCTTGTAACCATGCTGCCTTCCCACCACCAAGCTGCATTGTACATCCAATACAACATATATACAGAGAGCACATTGTGAGTTTCCTTTCTCCATCCCATCCTGAGTGTGAACCAAAACACCTTGAACCCCACAGTACAATGCAGCTTGGTGCTGGGAAGGCAGCATGGTTACAAGCGTGATGTAGAGAGCTGGTTGGTGAGGATGCTCAGAGAAGGACAGCTTGTGAGTCGCCATGCTTGCCGGCGGGAGCGAGGGCCGCCAGGCAGCGGCGGAGGAGGAGGAGGTGTTGCTGGCTGGTTGGTGTAGGTAGAAAGAGGCAGGTCACCACGAGGTCAGGTCTTATATAGCGGGGGTAGGCGTGGCTTAGTAGTTGACCCCCGCTCCGTGATGTATGGCGGCGCTGGTTGACCTAGACCACGAGGCATACACTGGGGAATTGGTGGGGTCGGCTAATCAGCGACAAACAGCGTTTGTAGGGAAGAAATCCACTACAAACTCACAATTCTAACTCTAAAAAAGTTTGCCCTGACAATTTCTGAACTTTCAGCCTCTACAGTACAAAGCTGTGACCTCTAGTGGGGTATGGGATGTTTTGTGTTCACTCAGGATGGGATGGAGAAAGGAAACTCACAATGTGCTCTCTGTATACCTGTTGTATTGGATGTACAATGCAGCTTGGTGCTGGGAAGTGGCAGCGTGGTTACAAGCATGGTGTAGAGAGAGCTGGTTGGTGAGGGTGCTCAGAGGACAGCTTGTGGGTCGCCATGCTCGCTGGCGGGAGCGAGGGCCGCCAGGCAGCGGCGGAGGTGGTGGTGTAGCTTGCTGCGGCTGTAGCTAGAAGAAGAGAGGGCACCACGAGGTCAGGTCTTAAATAGCGGAGGTAGGCGTGGCTTAGTAGTTGACCTCCGTGATGTATGGCGGCGCTGGTTGACCTAGACCACGAGGCATACACTGGGGAATTCACGGGGTCGGCTACTCAGCGACAAACAGCGTTTGTAGGAGAGAAATCCACTACAATACTCCCTCCTTCCCTCCAGGCGGTGTAGGAGACTTGTTGTCTGCAGGGTTGCATAGCACATGTGAGGCAGAACGGGCGATGCATGCCACATGTGAGCCATAACGGCGATGGCGTGGATGACCCGGCCGCTGGAGGACATAACTGTCTAGATACACAATATCTGTGGGAGAAGGGAGAAAAAGGGTGTGTGGAGGCGATGAATGTTGTGCTTCCCTCACTGCAGGTACAGAGTCGTCAGATGCACCTGCTGGGGTGTGTGGGCCTGGGTCAGGAGCAGGGGTTGCGTCAGCAGAAGCGGATGAGGGCTCATGACAGCAGCTGGGTCCACGACAGCAGCATGGTGCAGGACAGTAGCAGGGGATACCTGAGGGAGAAAAGGGGGGTGTGTGGGTCCGTGTCAGGAGGAGCGGCAGTGGGTATTGCTGGGCCGGGGTGGCGTCTGAGGCAGGACGGGTGTGTTGGGGTCGGTAGGACGTGGTGATTGGGGCAGGAAGAGGAGCGGCTGTCTGCTTAGAGTAGCAGAGCTGCTCTAGGGTGTCTAACCTGCGGTGTAGAGACAGTAGCTGTAGAGCCGATGAGAGCTGCATCTGTGTGGATAAGCCAGTCTTCCATGTTGCTTGAAGACTGGGAGAGTGATCGGTTTCTCCTCCATCCTGTGTGAGTGCGAATCTCCGGGGGTCACCATGTGTGGGGTACGTGATGTTTGGTTCACATCAGGATGGGATGGAGAAAGGAAACTCACAAAGTGCTCTCTGTATACATGTTGTATTGGATGTACAATGCAGCTTGGTGCTGGGAAGTGGCAGCGTGGTTACAAGTGTGATGTAGAGAGAGCTGGTTGGTGAGGGTGCTCAGAGGACAGCTTGTGGGTTGCCATGCTCGCCGGCGGGAGCGAGGGCCGCCAGGCAGCGGCGGAGGAGGTGGTGTAGCTTGCTGCGGCTGTAGCTAGAAGAAGAGAGGGCACCACGAGGTCAGGTCTTAAATAGCGGAGGTAGGCGTGGCTTAGTAGTTGACCTCCGTGATGTATGGCGGCGCTGGTTGACCCAGACCACGAGGCATACACTGGGGAATTCATGGGGTCGGCTACTCAGCGACAAACAGCGTTTGTAGGGGAGAAATCCACTACCCGGCAAGCATCCGCCAGCTCCAGTGTGAATAGTCGACAAAGTAATATTCTCTGAGATGTTTATAAACGAGCTGAACAGTGACGAAGAGGAAAAAAGTACAAGTAAATCCGTTGTCGCCAATACTACAAATAGGCAAGCGGTGCAAAAACTGAAGCACTTACTGTTTAAGTAACTTAGAAAGTGTGAGTAATCGTTCTTATAAACAGACTATAAAAATATTGCGGTTTTGCTGGCATTCAAGAGTTACAAATACATAATTTATGTTATATTAATTTCATGACTAAGCAAAAAATATTTAGGAAATACTGTAATTATGTAACCTTTAGTTTATCCCCTTCGCCACTCATCGGTCTGTTCGCATGGGCGGTCGGACACTTTTACGTACTTTTATCTTCTTCGCCATTGATCGGTTCGTTAGCCGCTTTGGTGGTCAGTCACGTATGATCTCTTACACACTGTTAGCAAGTACTGGGACTCTACTCATTGGTACAGGGCATGCATGCTCCGGCTCCTGAATATATCTGATAATCTGAACTGTGCTTGCTTGGAGCTGCTCCAACAATTTATAACTCTTACTCCCCAAAAAGTTTGCTCTGGCAGTTTTCTGAACTTGTAGCTCCTTTAAACTTAAGCTGTAACTTCTAGTCATCTAGTGAGACAGTCCACCCTAGAACTAGAGAGCTATGGGCTAACTGGTAGGAAAATCCAGTACAGCATGAATATATCTTTTACTTTACTTTTATCCTCTTCACCATTGATCAGATCGTTACCCGCTTGGGCGATCGGTCACATCTCTGTTACT